AAAAAAAAAAATCAAAAAATTAGCCAGGTGTGGTGGCATGTACCTGTAGTCCCAGCTACTCAGGAGGCTGAGTTTAAAGGATCACATGAACACAGGGGGTCAAGGTTGCAGTGAGCTGTCATGGTGCTGCTGCATTCCACCCTGGGTGACAGTGTGAGACCCTATCTCAAAAAAACAAAAAAAATGGGAGGGAGGAAGAAATTTTTACTTACCCTGGTTAATTACTGAATCATCCCAGTTATCTACTCTTCAGGAGAATGTATGCTCTAACCCCAGATCAAAGGATGGAAGAACCAGTTTGATTATACATTTATTGGGCACCTACTGAGTCCTTACCCCTGGGCTAGGCTGGCTGGCATGGACTCAGGGCAGGCCTGCAGAGTTTCCCGCTTGGGGTGCCTCACTAGGAAAAAAAGGGATATTCTTAAGGAATGGGGAGAGGAGCTGGTCCCTCCTTGAGTCTAGCCTTCTGTGCAGGGGTTTTCTTCTCCAACGGGGAGCGGTGGAGGCAGCTGAGAAAATTCACCATGCTTGCTCTGCGGGACCTGGGCATGGGGAAGCGAGAAGGCGAGAAGCTGATCCAGGCGGAGGCCCGGTGTCTGGTGGAAGCATTCCAGGGGAAAGAAGGTCAGCAGGGCGGGGTCAGCCCGAGGTCCCCAGCTAAGTGTGGGAAGAACCATCCCACTGTACCTAGGGATGGCTCCCCACCCAGTTCCTGGGATGAACAGAAGGGGAAGCCTTGCCCTCTAGGACTGGGCTGGGGGTTCTGTTCACCTCCAACCTCTGTCTGTGTGTCTCTGTCCTGCTGTCTCTCTGAGGGTATCACAACAGCTCTTTCTGCATCCCTGGTGCTGTCCTCTCACTCTCTCTGGGTCCTCTCCCTTTTCTTTGAGTTAGAGTCTCACTGTCGCCCAAGCTGAAGTGCAGTGCCACACTCACAGCCACCGCAGCCTCAACCTGCTGGGCTCAGGCGATCTTTCCACCTCAGCCTTCCAAGTAGCTGGAACTACAGGCATGAGCCATCACGCCCGGCTAATTTTTTTTATTTATTGTAGAGATAAGTCTCACTATATTGTCTAGGCTTGTCTCGAACTCCTGGGCTCAAGAAATCCTCTTGCCTCGGCCTCCCAAAGTGCTAGGATTACAGGTGTGAGCCACTGCGCACGGCATCCGTCTTTTTCTTCCGCTTTTCTCTCTCCTTTTCTGTTTTTCTGGCCCTGAGTCTATCTCTGTCTCTCTCTCTCCCTTCCTATGTGTCTCTCCTCTGTCCGTCCATCCATCTGCTCCCCCCCCACCTGCCTGTCTCACCCTGAGCAGGTCCAGACTGCACTGTATATGGAAGTTCCCCATCACAGCCCTCCTCCCTGCCCTCCATTCCCCCAGGACGCCCATTTGATCCTTCCCTGCTGCTGGCCCAGGCCACCTCCAACATAGTCTGCACCCTCATCTTTGGCCTCCGCTTCGCATACGAGGATGAGGAGTTCCAGGCTGTAGTCCGGGCAGCTGGTGGTACCGTGGTGGGGATCAGCTCCCCGTGGGGTCAGGTGAGTGGATGGGACCCCTCTCCGGCCACCTTCCCCAAAGGTTCCTGCCAGGCCCCCATGGGAACCAACTGCCCTTCTCCCCTACAGGCCTATGAGATGTTCTCCAGATTTCTGCAGCCCCTGCCAGGGCCCCACACCCAGTTCCTCCGCCATGTGAGCACCCTCGCTGCCTTCACTGTCCAGCAGGTGGAGCAGCACCAGGGGAGTCTGGACGCCTCAGGCCCTGCACGGGACTTGGTGGATGCCTTCCTGCTGAAGATGGCACAGGTGTGGGAAGGGTGCAGGGGTTCCCCCAAGTGGGGCTGGTGGCCTGGCTGGACCCCGGTGGGCATGCCTGGGGATCTCTGTCAGGTCCGTTTCTCTTTTTCTCAACACATCTCTGTGTGCATGTGCGCATTTCTGTACGTCTGTCTGTCTGTCTGTCTCTTTCAGCACATTGCTCTCACTGCCTCTCACCACCCCTGTGTTTGTGCTGGGTTCATCATCTCTCCTGCATCTCGCATCTTTCTCCCTGCCCCTACCTCGGCCTTGTGTTCTGGCCCTGTGCCCAGGGTCCTGCCACCAGCAATTCCCAGGAGCTCCCAACATCCCCCCTGCAGCCCCACCCACACTGGACATTTTGTGTGAATTACAATCTTTGGCTTATGAAACCTTGCAATATCAAGTTATGTTAACAAAGTCCACTTTATGAATTATGTGACAATTTCTTATCATATGAAAATTAGGGTTAAGCTATCTCCTAAGGAAATAACTAGTTTTGAACTGCACAAATGTTGAAAGTTTGGGGGATATTCAGGGCCACACTCTTGGAATAAGTGCAGCCACCCTGTGGAGAAAAATTTTTTTCTTAACTCAGTGGCCCCATTTCTTTTCTCTTGCATTAAAAAAATGTTTTTGAAAAATTTTAATGGTTAAAGATTAGCCAGCCGTGGTATGTGTGCCTGTAGTCCCAGCTACTTGGGTGGCTAGGGTGAGAGAATCACTTGTGCCCAGGAGTTTGAGGCTGCAGTGAGCTTTGATCGTGCCACTGGGTGACAAAGCAAGAACTTGTTCCCACCCCCTGCCAAAAAAAAGGCCAAGTACAGTGGCTCATACCTGTAATCCCAACATTTTGGGAGGCTGAGGCAAGAGAATTACTTGAGCTCAGGAATTTGAGACCAGCCTGGGCAACATAGCAAGACCTCATCTCTACAAAAAAAAAAAAAATCAACAAATTAGCCAGGCATGGTGGTACATATCTGTAGTCCCACTTACTTGGGAAGCTGAGGTGGGAGGATCCACTGAGCCCAGAAGGTTGAGGCTTTGGTGAGCCATGATTATGTTACTGTACTCCGGCCTGGGCCATGTTACTGTACTCCAGTCTGGGCCACAGAGAGACTGTGACTAAAAAAAAAATTATAGTAAAATATTGTAGCAAAATACATATAAAATTTACCATCTTAGTCATTTGTAAGTATGTGGTTCAGTAGTGTTAAGTACATTCACATTGTATTGCAAACAATCTGAACTCTTCCTTTTTTTTGAGTTGGGGTCTCACTCTTTTGTCACTCAGGCTGGAGTGCAGCAGCACTCTCACAGGCCACCACGGCCTTAGGCGATCTTTCCACCTCAGTCTTCCAAGTAGCTGAAACAACAGACGCACACCACCATGCCTGGTTAACTTTTGTGATTTATTGTAGAGATGAGGTCTCACCAAGTTGCACAGGCTGATCTCAAACCCCCAAGCTCAGGCAGTCCTCTCACCTCGGCTTCCAAAGTGCTGGGAATACAGGCTGAGCCACCACACCCGACCTCTTTTCATCTTTTGAAACTGAAACTCCCTACCCCCTAAACAACAACACCCTATTCCTGCTTCCCCCACCCCCTGTCAACCACTTTTCTACTTTGTCTATAAACTTGGCTACTCTAGGTTCCTCATATAAGTGAAATCATAGGAGTGTTTGGCCTTTTGTGGCTAGCTTATTTCATTTAGCATAATGTCCTCCAGTATCATCCATGGTGTAGCATGAGACAGGACGTCCTTCCTTTTTAAACCTGCATGGTGTTCCATTGTGTGAATAGCAACATTCTGTGTATCGTTCATTGAAGAACACAGAGTGCTTCCACCTCTTGGCTATTGTGAATAATACTGTTAAGAACATGAGTGTACGATTATTTCTTCAAATCCTCGCTTTCAATTCTTTTGGCTTTATTGTATTTTACGTTTTTATTTTATATTTTAGTTGGGGTCTCACTCTTGTCACCCAAGCTGGAGTACAATCATGGCTGACTGCAGTCTAAACTTCCTGGGTTTAGGTAATCTTCCCACTTCAGCCTCCTGAGTAGCTGGGACTATAGGCCCACACCACCAAGACTGGATAATTTTTTTATTGTTTGTAGAGTCAAGGTCTTACTATGTTGTCCAGGCTGGTCTCAAACTCCTGGGCTCAAGCAATTCTCCTGCTTTGGCCTCTCAGGGTGCTGGGATTACAGGCATGAGCCACCTCACCTGGCCTCTTTTGGTTTAAATTTTTTGAGGAGTTGCTATACTGTTTCGCACCATTTTCAATTCCCATCAATGGTGTGCAAGGATAGACTCCAAAAAAACTATTTATAAAAAATTGTGTATTTATTCTTACATGTTTAAACTTCAGTTATCTTCTTTTTTTTTTTTTGAGTTGGAGTCTCACTCTGTTCCCCAGACTGGAGTGCAGTGGCCGCTCCCGGCCACCGCAGCCTCAACCTGCTGGGCACGGCGATCCTTCCGCCTCAGCCTTCCAAGTAGCTGGAACTACAGGCGCACACTACCACGCCCAGCTAGTTTTTTTTTATTTATTGGAGAGATGAGGTCTCGCCAAGTTGCCCAGGCGGGTCTCGAACCTGCAGGCTCAGGCAATTCACTCACCTCAGCCTCTAAGGCGCGCGGGATTACAGGCTGAGCCACCGAGCCCGGCTACTTCAATCATCTTCAAAGTATTCTCCATCTGATGCAATACACCTATTGAGATGCTTTTTCCACTGGTCAAAACAGTTTTTGAACTCATCAGTCTTGATGCTTCTGCCATTTCTTGCTTTACCTCTTCCACATTGGCAAAATGTTTCCCTCTAAGGACTTTTTTCATGTGGGGAAACTAAAGTTGCTGGGGCAAGATCAGGTGAATAGGAAGGGTGGAGCATAAGGGTCTTGCAGGGATTTTTTTGGTTAAAAAGTGATGAATATGATGTGAGGATGTGGGGAGGTACGTTGTCATGGTGAAAGAACCAGTCACCTGTTTGCCACAACACGGGATGTTTCTTCTGCAAATTGTGACATAACCTTCTCAAAACTTCCAGGTAAAAACTTTGGT